CAGGCCTCGAAACCAGGTATGAGCTGGACCCGAGCAACCAAGGTCAATTAATTCTGTGTTTTCAATCTAATTTGCAAAGTCCCTACATCTCCTATGCATTTCGGTTCCACCAACACCATTTCTTTCCTCCATACTCGAAGTCTCATTAAAATCCCCTGCTAACAACCAAGGTCCCGAGTAATCATCCTTGATTTTTTCCAACTCTGCCCACATATCATTCCTCAAACTACTTCCAGGACTAGCGTAAATAGCAGAGAACAGCCAGGGGTCTCCACCATCTTTTTTTAGATCGACAGTAAGATGTTGAGAATGTTCTCCATATACTGTCACCGCAATTTTTTCCATCCTCCAGAATAACCAAATCCCACCACTAAAACCTTGAGCTTCAACTCGACGCTGACCCGAGAAACCAATTTTATTGCAAATTTGCTGAGCATTATCACCACTCATATGAGTCTCAACTAGAACTAGTATTGCCGGATCATTAATTCTAACAAGTTCCTTAATGATAGACAATTTATTCCCAACACCTTGTACATTCCAACACAAAATTTTAATAGACATATTAAAATTTGGAAAATTAGGGTACCTATCACACACGTTCAGAGGAACGTTAGACATCAAGCTTAGGAAAGCTTGTCGAAGTGCCTTCATTGGCCCCTCTGTCTCCATTGGCAGGGTAAAGTTCGCCATCATGCTTGGAGGGTTGTGCTCCGGTTGAACATAGGTGTCCAATTGAATTGTTGCCTTGTTCGCCAGTGGGTGAACCACTATCAAGTAAGGTCCCTCCGTTTGGTAATCTACGAACATCTCGAAGCTCGGAGGGATTCGCAACTCCATCGTCACAGGCACTTGATTTGGGAACATGCTGTGAATCCTCAAGGTTTGCTTTCAGACGGTTTTCCTTGCCCTTAGCTCCAATTAATTTAGAGTATGGAGAAGCTGAGTCTGATTTTTTAAAATTTGACTTCGAAGCAATAGTGTACTTATTTTTGGAAGTCAAAGGCAGTCTATTATCTTTTCCTAATTTTTTTACTTAGTACTCCGTATTAAATTGTTCAATAACTACAAGTTTTTAAAAGTTGGGGCTTAGCCTTTCGTGTGCACCATAATAAAAAACCAACTTTTTAAAAATGACCGAGTATTTGGTACGAAGATAACAATAATCAATTTTTTATACAGATTTTTTTTATTTTATTTTATTTTATTTTTTATTTTTATGTTATTTAAAGAGAAATATGAATATGATAATGCAAAGTATTCGTATTAGTTTGTCATATCTGTGTGTGAGAAATAATACAAGTATACAACCTCTTCAATTTTTTTAGGAAAAATGTGGGAAAGTTTCCCAAAACACACATCTTTGGATAATATACACCAAAAAATTATTAATTTAATAAAAATTAAGGGTTTGTTTGGCGGTATTTTTGTTTTCCAGAAAAGAATACAATAAAAAATTGTGTTTCATTTTTCTGTTGATAGTTTATTATGATTTTAATAAGTTTAACTAATTTTGTATTTATAAGTAACATACATCATACTCCGTATAAGTTTGAAAAAGAAAAAAAAATCAAAAAGTAAAAAATAACAGCAATACCAAATAAACTTTAATTTAAAGACTTGATCATCTATTTTACTCCCTCCGTTTTTTTTTAAGTGACACGGTTTGACCAACACGTAGTTTTAGGAGATTTTATTGACTTTAATAAAATAAGATGTTAGTGGGGTAGGTTGGAGGAGTGAGAAATGATAAAGTAAAAGAATGTGAGAGGAAGTGGGGACCATGAAAGGTGTGAGAAATGATAAAGTAAGAGATAGTGGGGTGAAGATATATTATTAAAATGTAAAGAATTTCTAAAAGAGGAAGTGTATCACTTAAAAAAACACGATCGTTTAAGGAAAGTATGTCACTTAAAAAAACAGAGGGAATATACTCCATACGTCCCCGATTGATAGTCACTTTTGCTAAAAAAAATCACGGGAATTAAGGAGAAATAAAGAAAGTACATTGAAAAAGTAAATTTACATTGGGTATGCAAAAAAATAGAGAGAGAAAGTAATTAAAGTACCTAGGAAAGTAAAATTTACATGGAAAAGTTAAATTTGCACAAATATTTTTTGCAAATGCTAGAAATTTTGGTAAAAAAAAATAATATTAATGGTACTTGAAAAAAGCAAATGTGACTAACATTTTGAGTCACCAAAAATGACAAAAGTGACTATCAATCGAGGACGCAGGGAGTATAAAAAAATTTAAAATAGTATTTGAATTTTTAAAAGTATTTCTAATAAAATATTAAACCGAAGGTTATATATATGGAGTATGCACAAGTATATTAATGTATGTTCAATCTTAACATATCGGAGGTTTATCCAAAATTTATATTCCGTATTTAAGACATTTTACAAAATAATCCTCGTCAGACCGTCTTTTACAAAAAAAAGAAAATTTGATTCTAATAATCCAACCTTTCGTCGGTCTTATTTTATTAATCCCACCTTTTGATTATTGTTGATTAATCCTACCTTTAGGGGGCATCTTATTCTATTAGGCCAACCTGACTGGTTACCCATTCTTTAGGTAAATATTTTTGTTTTCAATTTTTTTAACAAAACAAAAAGGATTTAAAATAAAAATAAAATAAAAAAGCCTCAACAACCACCCATGACCCACCTTCCCCTAAGCCACTCCCAAGTCCCCCATGGATTCCGGCAACCTATATCACCCAATTCCGGCCAGTCCTTCCCCTTCCCCCTAACCTCCCTTTTTAACTCCCCTTTCCTCTCTCTTTCCACTGTTCCGACCAACCCTTCGTTGGAAACCCTAACCAACCTTCCGGCCACTCTTTCCCCTCCCCTTAACCGCACTTTTTTCGTCCAACTTGTCCCCCTTCCCATCTCTTTTCGGCCAACACTCAAAAATCCCTGAAAATCCTCAACAAAAACTCTCGAAATAACCCCAAACCCTTGAAAACGTCGGAAACCATCATCGAAATCCTTGAAACCCGAAACCCCACCCACCGAAATTGAAAAAGGAAACTAGGCTGGGGTTTCGGGTTTCCACCGGACTATATAACAGGGGCGGCAGGGGGTGATAGGTTGTCATACATCTGTCAAAAATAAATTCCTAACAAAACCAACTAACAATGTAGTTGGGTAAGTAGGGTCGAATCCACAGAGAGATGGTTATTCAATCTAACTTCTAAGGTATGGAGAAACTAAACTATATCACGAAATTAGGATAGAAAAATGGTCTAAATTAAAATAGAAATAAAACAATTAATAAAAAGACCTAGGGTTATGGTTCACCATGTTTATAGCTCTAAATCTATCAAATATCAATAAAAATTCAATCAATCAATTATCTAGAGCAATTGTTAAGCCTACGATCGGGTCTTAACGCTCTCAATTCAGCATATGTAGTACGGTCGCTAACATAATCATAATTGCTAATTGTAGGGAAGCCTCTAAAAGTAAGATCTTTCGATTCAAACTCTTATTAACAATAATTAATCAAACAATTGATCAGGTTGCAAGATTAACAATAAAACACTATCAATTAGAGAAATCAATAATCAAAATATCAATAATATCAAAGAAGATTCATAGTATAAACATGGATTCCCAAACCATAGAAATAAACTACTCAAGCATGAAATAAATAATTAAAATTAAATCTAAGGAATAAAACATAATTAAAAACAAGAAATAGAAATAAAATACCTCCATGAATTGAAATAATAAACCCAAGAATTATCCATGGAAGAATCCATGGAGATGCCATGAGAAACTAGGGTTCGAGAGAAAACTAAAAAGAACGTAAAATAATAAAAGATATAAAAGGCATAAGGGAAAAATAATATCCCTTAGAGTATTTATAATATTTTAAAACTAATCTAAAAATAATTAAAGAAAAGAAGTAAGAAAATATAAATTACATAAGTTGTAGTGTAATTGGATGATAGAATATGACGTGGCACGAATAAGATTGATAAATCAAGGGACGAGTGAAGATGTGTAGCGACGAAGACTCGTGGGCTTCCTTGGCTGCTTGGCAGAACCTACGGCCGCAGGGTGGTGGCCGCGCCCTGGCAGTAGCAGCAGCGAGGCCGCGGGATATGGTCGCAGGCTACATAGCTCGGATTAAAACGAACATAACTTTTGTTCTAGAAAGCTTCTCGGGGCGTGTGACCTGTCATTGGAAAGCTCTTTAAGTCTAGTTTACAATGCAACTTGAATCACTTCAATCCAAAACTTTAGAACTCAAGTTATGATCAAAAGAGTGATCAAAGGTCAGTTTTGCCACTTTGTAAAACGTCGTTTAACTTCGTTTCTAACTCAAATTCAATTTCGAAAAGTGCATAACGATCATTGTGGATGCTATTTTCATTTCTCATGCATATAAATCTCAAAATCAACATTCACGAACATGGTGTATACAATTAATAAGCTCGATTTGTCGGCTTCCATCTAAATATCATATGAATCAACTCCAAACACTTCGAAAGCGTCGAAATGACTATAAAATCACCTGAAACATCAAGACAAACACAAACGGAGCGTAATAGAGCACAAAACAAACAACTTATGCATTTGCGTTCTAAAAGCAACAAAAGACCTAAAAAGCTATTATAAACTTAGCATAAACGTGCCTATAAATCCTATATAAATGTGATTTATCAGGGGGTGGTCGTGGTTGGTGACTCATTGAAATTCTTGAAGCTAGAAACCCCACCCATTGAAACTGAAAAAGGAAACTCGGTGGGGGTTTTGGTCGTGGTTGGTGATTGGGGTGGTTGGGGAAGTAGGGAAGGGCAGGAGGGTAGCTAGGGTGGTTGGGGAAGGGCGGTACAGGTGGCTGGGAGTGTATCGGGTTTCATGGAGGTGAGGGGCAAGAAAGAGGGTGTATGGGGAAAGAGAAGAGGAAAGAGGGGGAAAATATTAAAAAAAAAGTTTTTTTTTTAAAAAAAACAACCAATCATAGTGAGACACGTGGACAGGTAACCTATTGTAGAAGGTGGGATAACCGGTTGGGCCGGATAAAATAGAAAGGGGTGTAAAGGTGGGATTAATCAGCAATAATTCAAAGATTGGATTAATAAAATAAGACCGGCGAAAGGTTGAATTATTAGAATCAAATTTTCGTACAAAAAATTTCTCAAAATGCATATATAAAAAAATGAAATAAAATAATAAATAAAAGAAAAGATCAAACGTAATCGTTAATCCCCTTATTTACCAAAGTCGGTCTTTCGTTCTTATCCCAAATATTTTCAAAAAATCCTCAAAAATAAAGCACCTTGATTTTATTAATCCAATCTTGAGGGTTTTTATTTTCACTCATCACCAAAAGCCCTCAACTCTTGAGGGTTTTTATTTTCACTCATCGGTGAGTGTTTTTTCACTCACTGATGTAGTGTTCGGATTTTTTTTTACACCCTTATTTTTACTCGTGAGGGCTTTTCTCCTCACTGCTGGGAGTGCTCTTACATCATCATCATCCACATAATCTCCGAGATCTCTTTCCATATAAATATAAAAAAAAATCCTCTTTGATTCATTTTAAACAAGGAAATAAATCATTTCAAATATTTCTTTCTTCCTTATCCTATAATTCTTTCCTTTAATAGCTCCCAATTTTTTCAAATTTTCACACTATAAAATTTTTACTATAAAGTTTTTATATATAATACCCACATGAAGTTCATTGCTCTCATCCTAATCTACAACACCCACCGATTAAAATTCCCAAAAAATAAATAATACCCACTAAAATTCTCATCCTTCTCTTTTCTGGGTCTTGTTTGATTTCCGCCATTGTTGAAGTTTTTAAGCAAAAAAAAAAATCAATTAAATTTTCCAGGAAAAAGAAAAATTCAAGAACCATGCTTGAACGGCCGTGCAAAAATCTCCTGAATTGTTTGGATGAAATGTCACCGGAGTTGGACGAAAAGGTGGGAAGAATTCCGTCAATAATTTCAAAACCAGGGATCATTCCAGAATTTGATCACACGGCCTCATCACCCCGTGCGATTGACCAGAGATTAATCATTGCTGCGAACCAACTTCCATTGAAAAGCTTCAAAGATGATGAGGGTGTTTGCAAGAAATGGGGATTTGAATTTGATGAAGATGCCCTTATTTTGCAGCTAAAAGATGGGTTAAACCCCAAAATTGATGTTGTTTATGTTGGGTGTTTGAAAGTTGAGATTCTTGATATTAAAGAACAAGAAGAGGTTTCCCAATATTTGCTGGACAATTTCAAGTGTTTGCCAGTGTTTCTTTCACCAGAAATTCAGAACAAGTTTTACCATGGATTCTGTAAGCACTACTTATGGCCTTTATTTCATTATAAATTGCCAATTACATCTAATCATGGTGCTGCTTATGATCAATCTAATTGGCGTGCTTATGTTAGTGCTAATATGCTTTTTGCTCACAAGATAATTGAGGTTTTTAGGTATAGAAATGGTGATGATTTTGTGTGGGTGCATGATTATCATCTAATGGTGGTGCCTACCTTGTTGAGGAGAAGGGTTTTTAGGGTTAAACTTGGGTTTTTCTTGCATAGTCCATTTCCATCATCTGAAATTTTTAGGGTTATACCTGTTAGAGAAGAGATTTTGAGGGGTTTATTGAATGCTGATCTTGTGGGGTTTCAGACATTTGATTATGCAAGGCATTTTCTGTCATGTTGTAGTAGGATGATGGGGTTGGATTATAGGTCGAAACGAGGTTATTTGGGGGTGGAATACTCTGGGAGAACTGTTAGTATTAAGATTTTGCCTGTTGGAGTTCATATGGGACAGCTGCAATCTTTGATGTCATTGGATGAAACTGCTAAGAGGATTAAGGAATTGAAGGAGAAATTTGAAGGGAAGAAAGTGATTGTGGGTGTTGATGATATGGATGTTTTGAAAGGGATTAGTTTCAAGTTTATGGCTATGGGACATCTTTTGAATTCGCAGCCGAAGTTGAGGGGGCAATTGGTTCTTGTTCAGATAGCTAATCCAGCAAGGAGTCGAGGGAATGATGTGCAAGAAGTTGTAAATGAGACCCATCAGATTGCCAAGGAGGTTAATGACACGTATGGCACACCGGGGTATGATCCGATTGTTTTTATCCATGACTCTGTTTCAACCCTAGAGAAGGTTGCATACTATGCGATATCTGACTGTTGCTTGCTGAATGCGGTGAGGGATGGGATGAATCTTGTGCCTTATAAATACACTGTTTCTCGCCAAGGTAGTCCTGCATTAGATGCTGCTTTAGGGGTTGACTCTTCTGTGCTCAAGGAGAGTGTCATCATTGTCTCAGAGTTTGTTGGATGCTCGCCATCTCTTAGTGGAGCAATAAGGGTCAATCCATGGAATGTGGAGGAAGTAGCTGAGGCAATGCTTCTGGCAATTAGTTTGACAGAGAAGGAGAAACAGCTGAGGCACGAAAAACATTTCAAGTATATTAGTTCTCATGATATTGCTTATTGGGCTAAGAGTTTCGACCAAGATCTTGTGAGAGCTTGTGGCGATCCCTTTTCCATGAGGTGTTGGGGTGTTGGCTTTGGTTTGAATTTCAGGCTTATTGCCCTGCCTCCTGACTTTAGGAAGCTCACAGTCGATCACATCAGAGCTACATATGCAAATTCAAACAGTAGGCTGATCTTGCTGGACTATGATGGAACTATGATTCCACAGACATCTGTTAATATGGCACCTACTACTGAAGTTCTGTCCCTCTTGAATAGTTTATGCAATGATCCGAAAAATGCTGTCTTCATTGTAAGTGGAAGAAGCAGAGAGACTCTCAGCAAGTGGTTTTCTGCCTGTGAAAAGCTTGGGATTTCAGCAGAGCATGGATATTTTACCAGGTAAATTACATATAGAAACTATTTCTTATTCATGTTGTTGCTGTTTCGTATGTGATTAAATTGATTTTGTAAGGCAATCACTCTTTCTGTGTGTAGGTGGAGTCAGAACTCAGAATGGGAGTCAAGTATCTTGGGAACAAATTTTGAGTGGAAGAAAGTTGTAGGACCAATAATGGAGCTTTATGCAGAAGCAACTGATGGTTCTTCCATAGAGTATAAGGAAAGTGCATTGGTGTGGCATTACCTGGATTCTGACCATGATTTTGGGGAATGTCAATCCAAGGAATTGCTTGATCATTTGGAAAATGTGCTGGCCAATGAACCCGTCGTTGTTAAACGTGGCAAGCATATAGTCGAAGTGAAACCACAGGTAACATATATAAATATATGTGCTGAAATTTCTCTTCATTTGGCCAAGTACTATTAATTATCAAGAAGCATTTGGTGTATGGATTTATGAGCAAATGGGAATATCTGGATCTGACCAAACATTTGCTGTCATGATTGATTTATTAAAGCTACTGTATATAATTATGTCAACTTTTTTTTTCCATAAATTATTTCATATAGTTCCTTGGTCAACTCTTAGTGTGACAGAATTTGGTCAAAATGACGATTTTACTCTTTCAGCTTTGCTCTAAATTCAGTTTTGTATATATAGTAAAATATATTTCCATTGTCAAGGTTTTCATTGCTCTAAATTCTGTTCATTGTCAAATTTGAATACTCTGTTGTTTACTCTGAATTTGATTGAATGTTTTTGAATTTTTAATGGAAGGGTGTGAGCAAAGGTGTCGTGGTGGAAAAACTCATTACAACTATGAATGATATGGGTAAACCGACAGATTTTGTCCTGTGCATAGGAGATGACCGTTCTGACGAAGATATGTTTGAGGGTATCAGTCATGCAGCCACAAACTCATCATTGCCACCAATCCCTGAAGTGTATGCCTGCACAGTTGGTCAGAAACCAAGCATGGCAAAATACTACCTCGATGATAGTTCTGAAGTCATCACCTTGATTGAGGGCCTTGCTGGTGCATCTGCAGTGCAACAACCAAAGGCTGCTGATGCATCTACAGTGCAACAACCTAAGGCTGCTGATGCATCTACAGTGCAGCAACTAGAGCCGACTGATGCATACGCAGTGCAGCAACCAGAGCCGACTGATGCATCTGCAGTGCAGCAACCAGAGCCTGCTGATGCATCCGCAGTGCAGCAACCAGAGCCTGCTGATGCATCCGCAGTGCAGCAACCTAAGTCTTCTGATGCTCAAATTGCTACTGATGATAGCAAAGTTCTAGATTAGAATTTACAGACAGATTAAGAGACAGGGTAGGGGCAGAAAAGAATTCTGTACAGCAAAGTATATGATTTTTGTTCAAGTATCTAGGATACATTTTTTAGGAGATACAAGTGCATAGGTTCCGTTTTGCAGAATAGCTGATACCATCTTCTTAGGCGTAAGACAGTATAACAAGCTATCAATTCTTTTTAATTGTAGTTGTTTCACTATAATGTCTAGCTGCTTGCATTTTCTATGCTTGCAACTTGGGGTTTGGTGTTTCGATTTTATAACAGCTTATTTGTTCAACTATTTTTTCAAGCTATGAATTCTTTAAATTTGTTCACTTGAATTTGGTGTTTCAATTCATCAGTTTCTGTTTTTTTACAGCTGAGTTTTCTGTGGATTGCTGTAATGTTTTTTCTATGATGAATGAACAGCCAGTATTAATTTCGTGAGAAAGAGCACCGTAATGAAAGCTATAATGGAGCTATATGAATTTCAGACTTTTTCTTATTGGTAAATTGGATTAATTTACCAATAATAACGGCTATGAGTAGTAAGTTTCACCAACTAAAAAAAAAGGTACCACAAATTATAACCGCCAACAAATTAATTGATTAGGATCAGTCAAACATGTTTGCAACAATTAAAGCAAATAAGATCAACATAAATAAAATTAAACCCAAATAAATGCTAAAAGATCAAGTTTCAATTCAAAACAACGTATTTGTTCACTAAAACAGTATTTTCAATTAAGGGTTTGTTCTGATTTATTGAACTGAATTGAATTATTTATGAGAAAATGAAATTAAGGGTCTGTTCTCATTGACTGGACTCAGCTGAACTGAACTGAAATGAATATTTTATAAGAGAAGGAAATTAGGAGCTGAACTGAACTGAACTTCAACGTAAGAGAACAGGTCCTAAGAACTGAACTAATTTATACTATGACATCAAACTAGGCTTTATCTTATCAAAATAAAAATACATTAGAACTCCTCTTATGAAATTTTGGTAAAAATAATCCAATGCAAGTGAAGGGCCTGTTCTAATTTATTGAACTGAGCTAAATTGAACTGAACTGAATTGAATAAAGTTGAAATGAATATTTTATGAGAGAAGGAAATTAGGAGCTGAACTGATTCATATATTTAAATATTACTTCCTCCCTTTTCTAAATAATTAGCACATTTGACATATTTTCACTATCTATATACTAACTTTAATAATTGTTTTTAAAGTAACATATAAAAAACAAACTCTACCATGCGCATTGTTAAATGGCAAAAATTCACGAGCGCCCACTGGGTGTTAGATAAAACAATTAAAAGTAGATTTATTTAAATAAAAGTAACATTTATGACACTATTGATGTGTAATTTTATCATATATTCCTAACTTAATAATATCTTAAGTAATATATTATTTAGTTATCTCACACTTGGGGCGCTCGTTAGCAAGATCCTACTCATATTATCATCATGCCATGTTAATTTATCATTTTATCAATACTTTTTTTTTACGGGCATTTTATCAATACTTATATATGTTACGAGTAGTAAAGTGAAAATGTTGGGTCAAAAAAGCAATTGTACTTGACTAACATAAAGTTATTTGTATAGTCATTTAAGAAGGATTAAAGTGTAAGAAATGTCAAGTAATTAGATGAAATGCTTATTAGAGTGACAAATGGGTCGTTTGAATCAAGTTTATTCGGCTCGTGTCAGATTTAAGTGAAGAGAGTTTAGAAACTTTTGGCTCATAATCTAAAAAGGTTATTTCTTTTGAGAATTCAAGTATGTGTCCTTTTATAATACTCCAAAATTTAAGATCGGATTGAGTCACAATCTATATCAGCTTAGTTTTATTCTAACCTTTTAAGTCATTTAGTTACCCGTACATGTATTTTCGTATAACTCAAGTTCGGATCAACAAAAGTACTCCATAGTACAATTAAACAACTATTACATGTTAGACGATCTATTCAAGAATAAAATACATTCCTTGAAGTTAACATAGGTCTATTAATATAATTGATTAATCAAAGGATTTGACTGATTTTGTGGAAGAGGGAAATCTGCTTCACCCTATCGTAGTATCGTTACATTCTTCCACACCCAGAATTTTTAACTCTTACCAAGAACAATGGAGCATTTCTTCGTTGAAATTTTATGACCAAAAGAATACAGTGAAAATTACAGGTACAAAACTTCCAGTGTCAAGTGTCCAATGTGAATTAGGATGCATTCCTTATTTTTTTGGGAATATTTCTTCACTGTTTCTTTTCTTCTCTTCAGTCAACATCCATTGACTTATTTTCCTCTCCAAAGTCTAAATTTTGATTTGTAAAATCCCCTTTATTCTGTGTCTGTTTAATCACAAACAGTAAACAATTCTAGTCAATTTGTAGGCTTCAAAACCCAAATTTTAGTTTTTTAGCTCTTACTCCTTTCTGGGTTTCTAGTTTTTACTGTGAAATTTGCCCTAAATCAAGTATATTCTTGTTCAAGATCTTAATTTTGGCATAATTTGTTGCATACCCACCAATTTCTGCTGTTTTTTGGTGTAATTGTATCATAAGTTTTAGTGGGGTTTCTTGTATTCTTTCTAGTTTTTCATGAATTTTTTGTTGATTGAGTGTTTGTCACTGATCTGGGTTACTTTGAACTGGGTATGCTAGGGTTTTAGCATGGAGCTGAAGAAGGAAAAGATTGTAAGGTAAGTTTCACAGTAATTCTTTACTTTTATTTTGTTAATGTTTATGCTACTGTTTAATTTGTTGTAATTTTGGGGTTATTTGGTGAATATTTGTGTTAATTATGTGTAATATTATGTTATTATAGGTTTCATTCTGGTGAGAAACTAGACCCAGATATTGTATTGCCAAAATTAGACCCTACAAGATTAGATAAGTCATCATCTACATATAAGCTTTCATCAGTATACTATAATGGAGGTGGAAATTTAGGGGTTAGTGGTAGAATAGGAGAAGCATATAAGTTTGGTAAGACTAAGGTTTTGCCAGAGGAGGATGAAGAGTCATGGAGGAAAAAGATACTAGATCCTGGGAGTGATATTGTGCTGAGATGGAACAAGATTTTCATTGTTTCGTGCTTGCTGGCACTTTTCATCGACCCCCTCTACTTTTATCTGCCTGGGATATCTGGAAATAGTAAGACTTATTGTGTGAAAACTGATTTGCATTTGCAAATTTTTGTCACCTTGTGTCGGACTGTTGCGGATCTCTTTTATCTCTTGCACTTGATTATCAAATTCAGAACAGCTTATGTTGCTCCTAGTTCTCGGGTTTTTGGAAGAGGCGAGCTTGTGAGAGACCCCAACATGATTGCACGGAGGTACTTCAAATCCGATTTCTTCATTGATGCCATTGCTACATTGCCTCTGCCCCAGGTATGGTAGGCTCATTATCATTTACTTTCATTTTGATGAGTTTATGATCACTAAAGTAAGGTTGAAAGTTACAGCATATTTTTTTGTAGTGTAGGGGATATTCATACAGTTAAAATGACACATGCATGTGACATTGATGCTTTCTTTGAAAATGTTTGTTGAAGAATGAATGGAACACATCTTATCTATGTGTACTAGCTTGTTTGTGTGAACTTTATTTGTGTATAGTTGGAATTTGGGTAGCATGTGCTCCCCCCCCCCCCCCCCACTCCCTCCCCTCCCTCTTCTTTTTCAATTTGATGCTTCTTTCATTACTGAATAGGTCTTTAGATCTGCGAGTTGCGTAAAAAGATACAAGTTGTAGATTTAATGGCATTCAGACATGTCAAAAAGTCCCAATAGGATGTGCAATGACAAGCTTGCAAATCATTTGAGTGCCTTAAGTGTTGCACCATCAACTGGATGTAGTTGATAATTTATACTCCGTAGTTTTTAAGAAGCCTATACTATATATTTGGGTTTTCAAGTTTCCTTGTGTCTTATTGATGCTTATGGTTCCATACACTGCATTTATATCTCCAACACCTTATAATCTTTTTTTAGTTTTAGTTCTTACGGAGTAGTTCTTTATTTAGGGTGCAATCTTGATTCTTGAGATTTCACATGTGTATCTATGAGAACGTCTTTTATCAGCTAGCCCATTACATATTCCTTGGAACATTATTCTACACACACGAGTTTATCATTGCTCTCCATTAAGTTAGGACAAACACTTTTAAAACTGTATCTTTAAATTCTCTAGTTTTGCTCACCATGCTTTATCTCTTCCTTCTTGCTTTTGGGCAAGAAAAACTTAATTGACCAATAGAGAAAGCTATTCACAACTAGACAACCGATTAACCGAACAACATTGAACACTATCCATTATCTTAAGCTTAGTGACTTCTGAAAGACTAAAACTACAGGAATTTTGGACCACGGTGATAGAGTATTGGTGGCAGAATATGAAGTGAAGGCTCAAGGCTGTAGTAAATCTAGTAACAATTTTGGAGCAAGCACTTTTGTGGTGGAGTATAACTTGTGAAATCTGTTCAAAGTTATGCCTTGGGATTACAAGCTACGTGAAGATAAGATATTATCTATCACCTATAATACTCATTAGCAGGCATTGGCATAAGTGCAAAACCATGGTATGTAGTATCCCTAGCCTTTATCATGTCAGCCTTGTTTGCCATCCACGTGGGTTCTGACATGAAGTAAGAAACAGTATCTTTCTTTGAAGTATTACTATTAGTTTTAATCCGTTAGTCAGCTTATGCAGCTATATGGCTACGTGCAAGCATTTTATTTTGAGAAACCACTTTCATCTATTACCCATTCTACGCAATCAATAGCCAAAGTTCTAGGTGTCAAGATTCTTCTTCAAACCCAAGGAATCAGTATTGATATAGGTTGCTATGCTCTTCTCTTCACATTGATAGAGCTATTCTGACTTCTACTCCCTCCGTTTCCTAATATTTTTTATGTTTGGAATTATGCGTGGTTATTAAGAAATTGTGTAAAGTTGAGGTATATTGGAATATTTCAATGATTGAAAGTACAATTTTATTAAAAAAATACAATGTTGAGCATGTGGGGTGAAGAAATTAGAGGAGAGAGGAGAGAGAAAGTAATAATAAGTGTTGAAAAACTATTAAAATAGTACAAAAAGTACAATAGCACATGGAAAAGTAAGAACTTTTGAGTAAAAAAATTGTAAAACAAGGGTAATTTTGTCCAAAATTTATGACCAAAATAGGAAAGATACTAAATGTAAAGAATAAAAAGGAACACCCTAAATGGAAACGTAAAAAACATTTAGGAACGGAGGGAGTATTGTTTAAGGTTTGTTCTGGTCTGATCTGAAA